TGAAACTTCACAGACACATTCTGGGGACACCAGAGACTTATATTACATATTGTAAAAAGGCGCATAATACGTCTCCTTTCAATTTTAGGAACTTAGAAATGATTAGGCTCGTTTGTGAATTTTTGTTTGAATAATTTCTAATAATCTAATCACTATTAGAACAATTTCTAATCATTTCTTAATAAATTCATAATTGCTGTCCCATGCTTGATAGGAAAAAAAATTTGAGTTTTCCATAAAAGTTTGCATTTGGTCAATCAACCCATTCAATATTTGAGAATTGTAATTCCAAAACAGTCCTTTCTTTTGATTAGATGCATTCAGATTTAATTTGAGTCATCAAATTCAAAGCTATCACAAAGTCAGTAACATCATCACTCATTACTCCAGGACATTTAATGATGTGACACAGAATGGAGGACGTCTCGCTTTTTATGCGTTGCATGAAAGAACAACACAGATGTTTCCATTAGTATGGTAAGAGTTTTGGATACATTTAGACTCGAGGGATTGCCACTGACGTTTCAATTCGTTTTTCCCCAAAGCACGGCCTGAATCCTCGAACAAACAATTAGCAGATCCCACATGCGTTCTCGTTTTCCTCTCCTGAGGGACTTTGTCATGTTTTTGTCATGAAATGGTCTGACGGTGATCTCGAGCACTCCACTGACCCACATAACAGCAGCGACTGGTTGCAAAGGTCGAGGTTTGGGAGGTTCGCGCGACGCGTTATTGATCAGGAGCCGGTTGGTTTATCTGGTAATGTAAGCAGTGCGGATGGTGATGGAGACGCGCGCTGCCATCGCACTGCTGTCCTCTGCGTGATCGATAATGTAGCATCATATCAGGCAGGAGAACGGACTCGATCGAACCACTGCAGGAGTCACCGGTCGAAGCCGCATTCTCAGTGGCTGAAGCATCGTCTCGCAGGAGCTAAACCGAGAGATTTCCGAGCGGGCGGACTGAACGGAAAGCGGCATTCGCATCTTTGCGCTCCGGAGCCCCAAAGACACTGCAGAAACACACCAAAAACCATGTCGGCAGACAAAGCATGCGCCCGCTCTTCGCTGTTTGTTTCTACGGAGACGCGAGCGTCGACAGGCCGCTGACCGTCACGTATGTTCATTCATTTGGTCATTCAGAACATGTCGCATAATGTGATTGTTAGTCTGGCAGCAGCGGTGGGTAAAGTTAATCACGGCCTGCACCAATGCAGCCGACCATTATTATTCTCTGTCATGCAAATACACGAGCATTGTCTTCCATCAACCAATAACGTGACATTTCGAGAGAGGAACGTCGATATACACGTTTGTCACGTCGTAATGTTTTGTATGAAAGAATGATCGACCATTTTGCATGTAGATTGAGTCAACGTGCAGCTACTTTTCTTCTTAAACATGAGTGTTTTTTTTTTTTTTGTGATTACATGATAGCGCATTGCGCATTTTTGCCTGTTCCTGAGCCGGGATTCACGTGCATTTGTTACATCAGCTGATTTACGAGCTGTAGATGAGTCTTGAATGAATGAATGCTCGTCTAAATAGCATGTTATAGCTGCTTTAATGAAGAGGACTGTGAAGCTGTGGAGAAGCATGTTTGCATGATGATGATGATGTTTAAATGTTTGTGTGTTATTATTTATATATATATTTAGAATATTAGTGTTATTTTAAAAATTGTTGGTATTTCAGAAATGTGTATACATTTATTAATATATTTGTAATAATATGCTTAATATATTCTATAAATACTGTATTATGGCGCTGTGTTTTAAAAATTCTGTATATTATAATATTTATAAATATAACTTGTATTTTAATAATTTAATGATATAATTTATAATAATAATATAATATTAATTATTTTACTGGGAATATTCAACATATTTTTATTCTTGTTACTATGCGTCAAATTCATAAAATAGTTTGAAGAGTGCAAGTCTGCACTCTCACATGCCAATTATCCCAGGTAATGAATTTTAGTATGTATGTAATGCATTTATTTAGTGTATTGTTCATGTATAATGCATTGTGTGTACTTTGTGTTCAGTAACGGTCATCATTAAACATTTACAGTAGGTTGTATTGTATTAATAAAGGGCATGTGTGATTCAGGGCAAAAAAAAAAAGCAGGATATTATTGACTCTGATTCTGGCTGTGACATGTGACTCGGTTTGCATGTGTTAGACTTATGTTGCTTGTGACGGGCCACATGTGGTACCATATGGGGCGTACATATTAACTTGGTTTATGCAACACAATTCAGACTCAGGAGAATCCATTTTCCCTTCCTTGTTTGAGATAAGAGCTGTTCTTTATAATTGCTCTTCCAGTTTGATCAGCTACTTGCTTGCCATTCGTTTGTTTATTCATAACCCTTCAGTTCCTGAAGCTGTGTTTGGTTGCAGAAGCGGGAGCCGGACAGGAGAACTGTGGAGGGCTTTTTTGACCGCGGTAATATCGGAGTTCACCTACGAGGGACCATGTTGTCCATCTTAGCGGCGGGGTCTGTGTTTTTCCCAGGCCTTTTCCTCTTGTCCAAGCAGTGTCTCAAATCCATCCCGGGACTGCGGTGGAATGAGGGCGATGCCGTCATTGTTTCAGCCAGGTAAAAAACTCTTGCACGGGCTTAAACATGGCTTCGGTTTGGCCATGAGTAGATAGTAACATTTCACATTTTGTTGCGACCAAACAGTCTTTGGATAGATAAAAAGATCAATGTGGTCTTGAGACTTTTGGACTTCACTATATATCACACCATGAAAACATTAAAGCGCATTGGCAGCACTTACGTGTATTGTTATATTTTTAAGGTTGGTGTCATCCATCCAAGCTATTATGGCTTCTGTGGCTGGTTACATCATCTCCACCTCCTGTCAGGACATCATTGAGGACCAGTAGGTGCAACCGTCATCACTTTATTGGCATACAATCAATTTGTATCAAATCTTAATCAAAACAGATGTAGTTTTGGTGCTTTTTGATCCTAATCGCAAGAGACATAATGTGAACCTATTGATTTGTTGATGTATTTGTTTGTCAGTTCGTTTTTAAATGCATAAAGGCTATAAAAATAGAGTTATGAAGGTGTATTTGTGCAGTCAGATATGAATACCATGCTTTAGTGTGCTGAACCTATGAACATGGTCTGGCTGTTGGGCTTCAGTAATAATACAGCAAAAAGCCATTAGAACAATAATCAGATTAATTTGGTATTTTATTTGATTACACCACCATTAATTTTTTTTTAAAGAAATGAATACAAGGACACAGTAAATTAAATGCTGTTCTTTTGATCTTTCTATTCATTAATGAATCCCGAAAAAACAACATTGATAATAATCAGAAATGTTTCTTGAGCAGCAAATCAGCATATTAGAATGATTTCTGAAGATCATGTGACACTGAAGACTGGAGTAATGATGCTGAAAATTCAGCTTTGATCACAGGAATAAAATATATTTTAAATGTTTTCAAATAGAAAACGGTTATTTGAAATTGTAATAATATTTCAGAATATTACTATTTTTACTGTATTTTTGATCAAATAAAGCAGCCTTGGTGAACAGAAGAGACTTTCAAAAAATCTTACCGACCCTAAACTTTTGAACGGTAGTATATATTTGATCATATAATTAAAAAAAACTAGAATGTGCCACATTTAAGTGGTTTTATAATAATTTTATAGCATGTACACAAAATAAAAACAATTAAATAAAACAAAATAAATTGGTGGAGCTCACGAAGTTAACATATAAAATTAAGAATATACATTTTTTATTTTCCAGATAATATTTTAAGAATTTGTTTTGACTTTGAGAATTTAATAGCAAGTATTTAATTTAGCCAGCAACGTGTCTTTATAATATTGAATATTTAAAGTTTTTATACAGTACATAAAAATACACATCTTTTACGTTTTTAAAAACGGCATCAAAGTTTTGAAACCCCCTTGTGGAAAAAAAAAATTCTTAAAAGTAGATAAAAAAAAAATTGTTCTAGCAGAGAATATAATCAATAAAATAATCATCAAAAACACTCTTAAGTTCAACTAATTGCATTTAATATACATTTTAACTATTATAGATTTTCATTTAATTCCAAATAACATGCATGTAAGTGTCTCTAAACATTACATTCAGTTCAACACTTACGTATGTTATTTCCACAATAAGTACTCTTTTTAAAAGTATGCTTTTTCACAAAGAAAGTTATAGACCTGCTTCCCTTACTGATTCTCAGCCCATCAGTCTCTGTGTTTCTTTCTCAGGCATTGGCTGACCAGCTCCTACATCCTGTTTGCTGTGCCGTACTTTGTGTATGACATCTACGCCATGTTCCTGTGCTACTGGTACAAGCTCCAGGTCAAAGGCCACGAGGTAGACAACGGCTCCAAATCCAAGGCTATGGCAGTGAGAGGCTACCTGCGGCGAGAGTTCCTCATGATCCTGCATCACGTCGTCATGGTCACCGTCTGCTTCCCCATCTCTGTGGTAAATAGGCTACGTTTTAAAAAACCAGAAACTCAAGTTTTCAGAGAATCTGTTCATATTCAGATCTGCTCTCTCTCGCTCTTTCTCACGTTGTCTTCCAGTTCTGGAGGCAGGGAAAAGGTGATTACTTCCAGGGTGTCATGTTCCTGGCTGAACTCAGCACACCGTCCGTCTGTCTGGGCAAAATCCTCATCCAGGTACATTCATTATTGATTAGATGAGTGCTGTGGTATTTTTACCCTGATTCATCATTCTCTGCTTTAGCCTTAACAATGTGTGTTGTAACATTAAGCACAACTCCAGTTATGTCGTACTTTAATACATTATTCATAGTGAAGTGTGTTTACAGAAGTGCTGACTTGACATATGCAAGCCTGGCCTGTTTCACAAAGACAACCTGAGACAAGTTTACAAAGACAAGCTCCAAAAAAAGAAAGAAAATTATGATATAATTTACTCTAATGTCGTTCTTATGTCAAAGCTTAAAAAATACAAAAAATTTAAAATAAGGATAAAAAATAAAAAAAAGTTTTTATATGAGTTTATATCTTGCAATTCTGAAAAACAGGCTTAATTATGAGAGATAAAGTCACCATTACCTTTTATTTATTTATTTATTTATGTTTTTTCCGTGTTGGAAACAAGCTTCCATATGTTCCATATATGAAAAAGAAGTGTGCTTAATTTTACTGAACACGCACTTGTAGTGAACTTCAAATCTTATAAGTATATTTTTAAAAAGAGAGACACTTTCAAGATTATGCTTCTTAACACACTTAAGTACACTATTAAAAAGTGCACATAGTAATAATGTCAAATTAAAAGTTTTACTTTAAAGTGCATTTTAAATCATGATGTTTTAATAACCTTTGTCATGCTTTAAAGACGTTCACTTATTTCGATGTGTTGGCTAACATACTAAAGCACATGTAAAGTACTTGATTATCATTTTAACTAGGGCTGCACAATAAATCGCATGCGATATTTAACGAGCATCTTATCAGTAAAGCCGGTTCTGTAATCAGCGGTAAATCTCCATCACCTGCGGGCTTTCACATTGAGCAGCATTAACTACACAGAGCCGTTGTTCACTGACGAGCTGCGCAAAACCACGTTCATATTCGCGCGATTTTTTGCGCAGCTCGTCAGTGAACAACGGCTCTGTGTAGTTAATGCTGCTCAATGTGAAAGCCCGCAGGTGATGGAGATTTACCGCTGATTACAGAACCGGCTTTACTGATAAGATGCTCGTTAAATATCGCATGCGATTTATCGTGCAGCCCTAATTTTAACAGTAGTGTTTTTTAATTTTACATTTAAAGTTACTATGCTTTAAATGTACTGAATTGCAACTTCATCATAACAAATGTGTAATTATAAATAAATTTAAATACATGACATACAGGTTTCAATAGAGATGACAATACAAAGTATATTTTAGTTTACCATAAATGCTTGTCAATACCTTCGGCAGATTACTTTAATCATATTTCAAAGACAATTGACATATTTAAGAAATTACGTATAAAGATGAACTTAAGTCCTACTTAAGTGGGTCATAAAAGCACCCTTAAGTTGATCTAATTGTAATTATTATAAATTTCAACTATAATGCATTTTCATTTCATTGTAAATAAAATGCAGTAAAGTGTCTGAAAACATTACATACAGTACAGTTCACACTTAAGTATATTATTTTAAATTGTATTATTTCCGTAAAAAGTACTCCTTTTAAAAGTACTTCTTTTCACAAGTGTGACTTTATATCTTACACAAAATTAGATATTTTGAATAATGATTTTTTTTTTTGGCCTTTCAGTGTCCATTCAGTGAAACCCAGTGGGGTCCAGTGTTATTTTAAGGCCAAAACACATTTTTCTTCTTTTGTGTTCCTTAGGAAAGAAATAAAAATAGAACTGCTTTTAAGACAATGCAGAAAAGCTGAGCGGATGTGGCGGAAGACGAAACTTGAAATTCACTATAGCATCTATAAAGACAGCCTTCGTGCTTTCAATGTGGAACTAGGCAAAACACCAGTCCTCAGGTCCTTACACTGGCTTCCAGTTATATTTAGGATTGATTTTAAAGTACTTTTACTCATTTATAAATATCTCAATGGCCTAGGACCTAAATACGTTGCAGATATGCTCACTGAATATAAACCTAACAGACCACTCAGATCATTAGGATCGAGTCTGTTAGAAATACCAAGGGTTCACACAAAACAAGGGGGGTCCGCTTTTAGTTATTATGCCGCCCGCAGTTGGAATCAGCTTCCAGAAGAGATCAGATGTGCTAAAACATTAGTCACATTTAAATGCAGACTCAAAACTCATCTGTTTAGCTGTGCATTTATTGAATGAGCACTGTGCAATGTCCGAACTGATTGCACTATATTTTATGTATAATCATTTTCTATTCTTAACTGTTTTAAATTCATTTTAAACCTCTTAAATAAATTTTAATCATTTTCAGAGTTTTTAAATTCCTTGTTTTATTGTTCTGATAATTTTTTTTATGATTATTTTCTTTTCTTTTATGCAAAGCACTTTGAATTACCATTGTGTATGAAATGTGCTATATAAATAAACTTGCCTTGCCTTTTAAACTTCTTATAATAAAAGATATGCAAGGGCTGAACATGTTCTGTTAGATTAAGTTACGTGTGTCTTATTGCTCTTCCCCGTCACCCTCTCAGAGCCTCATGTATAGCCTCATATCCACAGCCGTCTCTCAATATAGCTCCCGAATTTAGATGAGATTTAACACTTGATATAATATCCAGCTCTCCACCCTGTCCACCCTCCTCCAGCCTCCAGTATATGGAACAACACAGTTTAGCTTGGTACTGAGCCAGGTGAGAGGATGTGTGTTCACCACTGCTGAGTGTACAGCAGACGTGTGGATCAGTTACATGCTACAAATCCAACATTACACATCTATCTATCTATCTATCTATCTAATTAAGTGTTCAAAAAGAAGTCAACCTTGAAGTAGAAAATTAAATAATGAAAATGTAGGATATGACCCCTTTATTCTCAACAGTGTGAAGTGGTGTGTTTTATAATTAATCGCACTCATTCTTTTTCTTCTTTCTCATTTTCCCTTCTTTCATCAAGTTGTATGGCTTATTCTCTCTGTCTTTTTCTCTCTCTTTCTCACTGTTAAGTACAAGCAGCAGCACACGCTTCTTCACAAAGTGAATGGAGCTGTTATGCTGATCACTTTCTTCCTCTGTCGAGTCCTTCTCTTCCCCTATCTCTACTACGTTTACGGAAGGTATGTCTCTCTTAAAGCGTTTGAAGGAATAGTTCAAGCAAAAAAAGAGAATTCTGTCATTATTTACTCACCCTCATGAATTTCAAAACCCATCTACTGTTATTTTTTCTTCTAATGTCTAAACCGCTGACAACAAAAGTGAGTACACCCCTAAGTGAAAATGTCCAAATTGGGCTCTGGTGAACTCCATGCCCAAGAGGGTTAAGGCAGTGCTGGAAAATAATTGTGGCCACACAAGATATTGACACTTTGGGCCCAATTTGGACATTTTCACTTAGGGGTGTACTCACTTTTGTGGCCAGCGGTTTAGACATTAATGGCTGTGTGTTGAGTTATTTTGAGGGGACAGCAAATTGATGCTGTTATACAAGCTGTACACTCACTACTTTACATTGTAGCAAAGTGTAATTTCTTCAGTGTTGTCACATGAAAAGATATAATAAAATATTTACAAAAATGTGAGGGGTGTACTCACTTCTGTGAGATACTCTATCTATCTATCTATCTATCTATCTATCCATCTGTCGTTCTATCTATCGTTCTTTCGTTCTATCATCCATCCGTCCATCTATCCATCTATCTGTCTGTCTGTCTGTCTGTCTGTTTTATCTATCCATCTGTTTTATTCATCATCCATCCATCCATCTATCTGTCCGTCTGTCTATCAATCTATGTTTTATCTATCCATCTGTTTTATCCATCCATCCATCCATCCATCAATCCATTTTCTTTGTTTCTTAATTTTTGCTTTCTGTCCAGGTACGTCTCTATTCCCTTCTACCGGGTTCCTTTCACGGTGCCCTGGCAGTGTAATCTTGGAGCGGCTCTGCTCATGGCCCCGCAGCTCTACTGGTTCTCCCTGATCTGCAGGGGGGCCCTGCGCCTGTTCACCGGTAGCTCCTCGCGCTCCCGCAAACCCACGGCTCCGGTCAAGCCCGATTACGAAGGACACGAGTCGCTGCCTCAGCCTGCCAACGGATACAGTACACAGATGGTGGGTCGGGACACGCCCACAATGTCGCACTGAGGGGGAGGAGACTATGCTAATGAGACTAAGCAAAGTAAAAAGGGGATTGGATGAATGCAATGATGAAGTGGCAGAGCAGAAGGGCAGGTTGCCAAGGAAGTAAACAGAGTGATTAAAGAGGTACTGAAATAGACTAGATGCCCTGTAACGCATTACAGCACAGCATTATGTTTAGTTACAGGGCTCGTGTACTGTGTATATAAGACATGCTTTAGTAGATCAAGGGAAGCAAAAATGCCGGAAAAATCAGTGGAAGTGTCCACACAACGGCCAGATGTGTGTCACATCACAACTGAGGCAATAAGTGCATATTTTATGTGAGAACATTTCTGAACCAAGACAAGAACTTTTTGTTTGAGGCACTTTGAAAGGTCGCAGAATGTCAGACTGGGGCTGAGGTCTCGTGCCTGAGGTCTGTTCTTTGCATATATTACTGTTGTGTTGCAGATGCATTGTTCATAGAAATGTCCTCGATTATTATATTTAGCACTGGTCTACAAAGAGCAACCCAAGGTGTCAGGCATTATCAAGCTTGACTGTCTCTATAGAGTTCAGGAGAAATGCCTCTCGTTGGGTTTAAAGGGACAGTTCACCCAAAATGAAAATGTACCCACTCTCATGTCGTTTAGATGCTATATTATTTTAATTGTGAAACACAGATTTGAGATGTTAGGCAGAATGTCTGAGCTGCTCTTTTCCATTCTATGAAAGTGGATGGCGATTTATTTTGTTCCAACATGTAAAAAAAATCCATAAAAGGACCATCTTCACTACTGTTTAAAATTTTGCGGTTAGTGAGATTTTTTTTTATTTTTTTCAAGAAATAAATACTTGGGGAAAAAAAGGTAAGGATGCATTAAATTCATCAAAATTCACAGTAAAGAGATTTATAATGTTACAAAAGTTTTCTATTTCAAAATAAATGCTGGTCATTGAACTTTCTGGAAAATTTCTTTAATATTACGCTTAATATTTTTTATATTAAATAGTATAAAAATATTAAATATTAAGCAGCAAAAAAAAAAAAATCAACATTGATAATAATAAATGTTTCTTGAACGGCAAATCAGCATATTAGAATCATTTCTGAAAGATCATGTGACACTGAAGACTGGAGTAATGATGCTGAAAATTCAGCTTTGATCACAGCAATAAATTACATTTTACAATATTTTAAAACGAAAACAGTTATTATAAATTGTAATAATATTTCACAAAATTACATTTTTTTTTCTGTATTTTGATCAAATAAATGCAGTCTTGGTGAGCATTTGAGACATAACAAAAATCGTAATCACTCCAAACTGTTGACTGGTAGTGTAAGTATATTAAAATTAAGGCCAATAGTATAATTCTATACTGTTTTGTCTAAATAAATAAAAAATGAAACCCTAAAGACAGAATGAAAAATGGATAATAATTTTGAGATTTGCTAAAATGACATTTAACAGTTAAATATGACTCCAAAATTAGATTTACAAATCTGTTCCGTACACCAGTGTAAAACCAGTGATATTTTAGTATCACTGAGATACTATTATTGTTTTTATTACTAATTTGAATTCGTGTTTATGTTTTGTTTTCCATTTGAATTTTAGTTAAATATTTAGTAATTTTGTTTTGTGTTTTTGTCTTATTTCTATAGTTGTTATACATTTTTATTTCATTTTTATTTTAGTACATCAAGTTAAACTAAAATATAAGAGATATTGTATACATTATTTTAATGTATTTTTTTTTTCAAGTAACAAAAATGCTTTTTTTTAATGGTTTTAGTTTTAATTAAATCAGTTAAACTATAATAACCCTGCAGAAGACTGTAATATAGCGCATAAATCACTATCCGTTTGGATGGAAAACAGAAGCTCGACATTTTACCAAATGTCTACTTTTGTGTTTCACAAAACAAAAAAAAAAAAGACAAATAAGACATTGGAATGACAACAAACTATTCCTCTACCACAGCTGATCCATGATGACACTTTGGGCCCAATTTGGACATTTTCACTTAGGGGTGTACTCACTTTTGTGGCCAGCGGTTTAGACATTAATGGCTGTGTGTTGAGTTATTTTGAGGGGACAGCAAATTGATGCTGTTATACAAGCTGTACACTCACTACTTTACATTGTAGCAAAGTGTAATTTCTTCAGTGTTGTCACATGAAAAGATATAATAAAATATTTACAAAAATGTGAGGGGTGTACTCACTTCTGTGAGATACTCTATCTATCTATCTATCTATCTATCTATCCATCTGTCGTTCTATCTATCGTTCTTTCGTTCTATCATCCATCCGTCCATCTATCCATCTATCTGTCTGTCTGTCTGTCTGTCTGTTTTATCTATCCATCTGTTTTATCCATCCATCCATCCATCCATCAATCCATTTTCTTTGTTTCTTAATTTTTGCTTTCTGTCCAGGTACGTCTCTATTCCCTTCTACCGGGTTCCTTTCACGGTGCCCTGGCAGTGTAATCTTGGAGCGGCTCTGCTCATGGCCCCGCAGCTCTACTGGTTCTCCCTGATCTGCAGGGGGGCCCTGCGCCTGTTCACCGGTAGCTCCTCGCGCTCCCGCAAACCCACGGCTCCGGTCAAGCCCGATTACGAAGGACACGAGTCGCTGCCTCAGCCTGCCAACGGATACAGTACACAGATGGTGGGTCGGGACACGCCCACAATGTCGCACTGAGGGGGAGGAGACTATGCTAATGAGACTAAGCAAAGTAAAAAGGGGATTGGATGAATGCAATGATGAAGTGGCAGAGCAGAAGGGCAGGTTGCCAAGGAAGTAAACAGAGTGATTAAAGAGGTACTGAAATAGACTAGATGCCCTGTAACGCATTACAGCACAGCATTATGTTTAGTTACAGGGCTCGTGTACTGTGTATATAAGACATGCTTTAGTAGATCAAGGGAAGCAAAAATGCCGGAAAAATCAGTGGAAGTGTCCACACAACGGCCAGATGTGTGTCACATCACAACTGAGGCAATAAGTGCATATTTTATGTGAGAACATTTCTGAACCAAGACAAGAACTTTTTGTTTGAGGCACTTTGAAAGGTCGCAGAATGTCAGACTGGGGCTGAGGTCTCGTGCCTGAGGTCTGTTCTTTGCATATATTACTGTTGTGTTGCAGATGCATTGTTCATAGAAATGTCCTCGATTATTATATTTAGCACTGGTCTACAAAGAGCAACCCAAGGTGTCAGGCATTATCAAGCTTGACTGTCTCTATAGAGTTCAGGAGAAATGCCTCTCGTTGGGTTTAAAGGGACAGTTCACCCAAAATGAAAATGTACCCACTCTCATGTCGTTTAGATGCTATATTATTTTAATTGTGAAACACAGATTTGAGATGTTAGGCAGAATGTCTGAGCTGCTCTTTTCCATTCTATGAAAGTGGATGGCGATTTATTTTGTTCCAACATGTAAAAAAAATCCATAAAAGGACCATCTTCACTACTGTTTAAAATTTTGCGGTTAGTGAGATTTTTTTTTATTTTTTTCAAGAAATAAATACTTGGGGAAAAAAAGGTAAGGATGCATTAAATTCATCAAAATTCACAGTAAAGAGATTTATAATGTTACAAAAGTTTTCTATTTCAAAATAAATGCTGGTCATTGAACTTTCTGGAAAATTTCTTTAATATTACGCTTAATATTTTTTATATTAAATAGTATAAAAATATTAAATATTAAGCAGCAAAAAAAAAAAAATCAACATTGATAATAATAAATGTTTCTTGAACGGCAAATCAGCATATTAGAATCATTTCTGAAAGATCATGTGACACTGAAGACTGGAGTAATGATGCTGAAAATTCAGCTTTGATCACAGCAATAAATTACATTTTACAATATTTTAAAACGAAAACAGTTATTATAAATTGTAATAATATTTCACAAAATTACATTTTTTTTTCTGTATTTTGATCAAATAAATGCAGTCTTGGTGAGCATTTGAGACATGACATAAAAATCGTAATCACTCCAAACTGTTGACTGGTAGTGTAAGTATATTAAAATTAAGGCCAATAGTATAATTCTATACTGTTTTGTCTAAATAAATAAAAAGTGAAACCCTAAAGACAGAATGAAAAATGGATAATAATTTTGAGATTTGCTAAAATGACATTTAACAGTTAAATATGACTCCAAAATTAGATTTACAAATCTGTTCCGTACACCAGTGTAAAACCAGTGATATTTTAGTATCACTGAGATACTATTATTGTTTTTATTACTAATTTGAATTCGTTTTTATGTTTTGTTTTCCATTTGAATTTTAGTTAAATATTTAGTAATTTTGTTTTGTGTTTTTGTCTTATTTCTATAGTTGTTATACATTTTTATTTCATTTTTATTTTAGTACATCAAGTTAAACTAAAATATAAGAGATATTGTATACATTATTTTAATGTATTTTTTTTTTCAAGTAACAAAAATGCTTTTTTTTAATGGTTTTAGTTTTAATTAAATCAGTTAAACTATAATAACCCTGCAGAAGACTGTAATATAGCGCATAAATCACTATCCGTTTGGATGGAAAACAGAAGCTCGACATTTTACCAAATGTCTACTTTTGTGTTTCACAAAACAAAAAAAAAAAAGACAAATAAGACATTGGAATGACAACAAACTATTCCTCTACCACAGCTGATCCATGAAGGGCCTCTTTGGATCAAATGAAAGACAAACCCACATCAAATGTAATTAAACCCTGTCTGTCAGAAAGAAAGAGGCAGCTCGGGGTTTGGTAATGTATTATTTTGTACATGCTCAGAAAGCAAGCGTCACACCTAATAGAAAGTAGCTACCTTGAATGTTCTCCGATTCGACCTGTGATCCACCGTAAGGTGGCTTTAAACGCAGTTTTACCACGAAAATCGTTCAACATTTGTAGTTGGCTTTACAATATCCCTACTATAACCTCTTTAAAACGAGTCACGAGTCCTAAAACCCTGCATATGTTATAAAGGGACATGATCCAATATATATTAAGCTGCCTTATCCCTGTGGAAACTCTTATTCTTCATCTTTTACTCTTTAGTTTTGGCTAGAGGTGAGTTTCCTCCATTTAAACAAATGCGATACTTTACATAGTCAATGTGAAATTTTTTTGCACTTTATTCATTTCGTTGTCACTGAAGACATGTTGTTCGTCTCACGGTTCCTGTTATTTATTGTGGTTTAAGATATTTATGGTTTTAAATTCTTTTCAGCCTGTCAGTCTCGGGGTTTTGTTGTTTATGGGTCACTCAAACGATCTCATCTCTGTCTAGTCATAAATCAAGGATTCATTTGCAGATGAATTCAGCCTAGTATTTTTTTAATTTAATAACACCGCTTGCAAGTTCAACCGTACCACTTATCAAACAGGAACGAATAACATTGCAAAGTAAGTTTTTGAAGCTTAACCAAATGACTGTATGCTGATTTCAAATTTATACAATGAAAAAACAGGTGCAAAATGTCAATTGCGCTGAATTGGGTATATGACTTTGCATGTGTATACTCCGTCTTTGTCCCTTGTGAACCCAGTGTGCTCCAATATCGAACGTAAATCCAAACTATTTAACCCTAGTGAACGGCAACGACTGCTTTTGATGGTTTTCTTTTGGAAAGCATTTATGTTTTAGTTGATTCGACTTCTTTTTTTTTTTTTCCATATGTAAACCTGTTGTAATTCAGTCTCATTGCAGAAATATATACTCTTGTCTCATATGCTGCATGTTATAATGTCGCTTCTCCTAGTCCGTTTGTGAACGTGCCGTACGGGGTTTAATTGAGACCTCGATAATGTCGAGCATGAGTCTCAATGTCTGCCATCATGACCTCTGCGGAGACATCTGGAATTAAAACGAGCTTAAAAAATGGATCAGGATTTTCACATCAAATGTCCTCTTGATTCCTCTTATTAATTTGAGAGCCTGTACCAGACAGGTGATGCTTGGAATCCAGACAACGCAATTGAGGCTAACAGGCCACAAAAAGATTCACGCTAATACAGCGGCTTACGTTCCACCTTTTCTCCCTTCGCAGAATCGTTTATGCGCTGAATAGAAAGTCTGGGAGATTTCCGATTTCAACATCGGATGTGATTGTTTCTAATTACTTGATAAGGATTGTTGAAACTCGTTCAAATTCAGAGCAGTTTGCTAATGAATCAATCATTTGCTTACAAATCAGACATCACTATGGCTTGCGAACAGGTTTATATGGAAGCTTGTTTCCACCATGGAATAAAAATATAAAACCGGTGATTTTTTTCCCTCTATGAATCCTAAATTTACATCTCACAATTCTGAGAAAATTCGTCTTTTCTCAGAATTTACATCTCAAAATTCTGACTTTTTCCCCTCTATGAATCCTAAATTTACATCTCACAATTCTGAGAAAATTCGTCTTTTCTCAGAATTTACATCTCAAAATTCTGACTTTTTCCCCTCTATGAATCCTAAATTTACATCTCACAATTCTGAGAAAATTCGTCTTTTCTCAGAATTTACATCTCAAAATTCTGACTTTTTCCCCTCTATGAATCCTAAATTTACATCTCACAATTCTGAGAAAATTCGTCTTTTCTCAGAATTTACATCTCAAAATTCTGACTTTTTCCCCTCTATGAATCCTAAATTTACATCTCACAATTCTGAGAAAATTCGTCTTTTCTCAGAATTTACATCTCAAAATTCTGACTTTTCCCCCTCTATGAATCCTAAGTTTACATCTCACAATTCTGAGAAAATTCTTCTTTTCTCAGAATTTACATCTCAAAATTCTGACTTTTTCCCCTCTATGAATCCCAAGTTTACATCTCACAATTCTGAGAAAATTATTTTCTCAGAATTTACATCTCAAAATTCTGACTTTTTCCCCTCTATGAATCCTAAGTTTACATCTCACAATTCTGAAAAAATTCTTCTTTTTTCAGAATTTACATCTCGCAATTCGGACTTTTTTTAATTGTAGAAATTGGGGTTTACATCTCATCAATTTTTTACATTTTCCTCAGAATTCTGACAAAATTTTTTCTTCAGAATTCAGTTTTCATTTTGCAATTCTGTTTTTTTTTCCCCCCTCTGTATGTCGTTAGTTTACTTTTTTTCTTTAAATTCTAAGTGTACATCTTGCAGTTTTGAGAAGATTCCGAAAAAAAAAAAAAAATCGCAATTGCGAGATATAAACTCGCATTTTATGAGAAAAGTCAGAATCGTGAGATATAAATTCACAACTGCGAGAAAAACATTGTCTTTTTTTCTGAGAATAGTGAGGTAAAAAGTTGCAATTACTTTTTACATATTTTTATTCCATGGCAGAAATCAGCTCGCAGAGGTTTAGCCCAAACAGAAAATAATTTTCTACTATTTTTAAAGAAAAAAACCCCCCAGAAAAAACAGTAGGACACCAGCAGCTAGGCATTCATTTATTTATTCGCATAAAAAAAAATCCGAATAAAAAAGACAACATCAGTAAAATAATAGCATCTCATTTGTCCAATGCAAAACGATGAATTATGACGATTTAGGGTATAAACCCAAAAAAACCTGGCTTTCACTCAAGCAGTCTGTTGTTTCCCTCAGTATCTCCTCTGTCTGGGACTGAAGACAGTGCTGGGGTCGCTGTCTCGCTCTCGTTCTTTTTCCCGCTCTCGCTGACTGTTGGGCGACAAGGGCTTTTCCACGACAGGCCCCGACCGCGCTTTATCGCTTTTAAAAAGATCCCGGCCTGTCCTCAGAATCTGCTCCTCGATTTTTCTGTGACGCTTCATGTCCGACAGCACTTTGTCCAGCCGGGCCTCGCGCTTGACCGTCGAGCGGGCAGAGGAACCTGGGAAAGAGAGAAAAGGATGAACACAAGTCAGCATTATTCATTTATAATGTGTGTCTGCCAAGATGACCAAATCCATAGACGTGGACAAATGTTTGATCATACCTGGTGTTCTGCGGCGACTGAGAAAAGAGTTTTTAGGAGTTGCCATAGTCTGTTCCTCGTCGAAATCAAATTCAGTTGGCGTGAGGTCCCTGCAGGACATATAAATAAATCAATATTTACATTCTTTGTAATTTAAAAATGTATATTATATTTGCACACACACACACATTGAGTAAATACTGGTGTCTCATTTGTACACAATACCGGTCAGAGGTTTGGAATAATTCAGATTTTGAGTCTCTTCTGTTCATCAAGGCTGCATTTATTTGATCAAAAATACAGTAAAAATGTGAAATATTATTACCATTTAAAATAACTATTTTCTATTGTAATATATTTTAAGGTGTAATTTAATTATTTGATGCAAAAGTGAATTTTCAGCATCATTACTCCAGTCTTCAGTGTCACATGATCCTTCAAAAATCATTTTAAGATGCAGATTTGCTTCAGTTATTTTATTTGCCTGCTATAATGTTATTATTGCTCCTCAATGATTAATAATGGTTCTTATTCTCAGTATGTAAACAGTTGTGATGCTTCATATTTTTGTGATTCATTTTTTCAGGATTCTTTGACGAATAGAAAGTTGAAAAGAACAGCATGTTTTTTGTTTCAATAGAATTCTTTTGTAACATTATGCACGTTTTTACGGTCACTTGTGATTAATTTAATGTGTCTTTGCTGAATAATACTTATCTCAAACCTTTGAATGGTAGTGCATCCACAAAATATTTAAGTGCCAAAAAACTAGGGCTGGGTATCGATTCAGATGTTCCAATTCGATTCGATCATTACGAGGTGATATTTGACTCCTCTAACTTTATTAAAAGTATGACATCTTTTGTCAAATTCTTAAAAAAATTATATTTTATACGTTTTTTAAAAATTGTAATTAAAACGACACAATAAGAACAAGTAGAATAAGAAATATAAGTTACCAATCAAATTAAATCAGTATTAACAAAATTAATTTGTAGAG